CATCAACTTCAAATAAAACCATACTTCCTAATTGTGACACTAGGCTTTCTGAATCTGAATCATAATCAGACATCTCTGTATGAGCAGGAAACAATATATCTTTAATTAATGCTCTGACAGTTTCTGCGGTGTAATTCCTGTTATACATCACACCGAGATACTTGGCTACTTGCCAACACGTCTGAAGTTTTAATGTACTTAACTCAGACAAAGTCAGAGTATCAATTAACTGTTTCACTTTGGCATACATCACGAAAATAAGTGTACTACGAGAGAGTGATTATGGGAAACTATAATCCTAATAGGAATTTTAGTGTTGGATATCGTAGAGTTAGGACTCAAACAGTATTTCCATCTCCTTGGATCAAGAGGCTCAGTCAAGTACATACATCCACCTGATATGTTGTACAAGACTAAACTCAAAGTCTTCAGATTAGGAAAGTACTCAGAGTGTTTGATCATAGAGTTACTAGTATGTCAAACTGGACAATTTCTCCAACACCTTGGATCAAGAGCATCCCGGACAGGCCCCCATTTGTTACAAAAAACGCGATTCTAAAAGCTTAGAGATCTCCAGTGAATACTAGAATGGACTGCCCTTCTAGCATCCAGCCTGTTACTAGGTTTCGTAACAAGTAAGTCAGTATCCTTGTCCAATTATCCATTAAAATTCAGTATTGTTCAATAGCGCTTTAGGATTACAACTGGTAGGCTACTAACTAGAGAAATTAAAATTTAATAAATTTATTAAGTCTAGAGGTATATTATCAAAGTAAATTCAATCACAGCAATCAAAATAAAATCAATCTCTCGAGTTCAATATTATTGTGCTGAAAGCACATATCACATTTATAATTCTTAAGTACCGTCAGGTACATTAACATTTAATAAGATATTACAAATATGTACAAGTAAGTGTGTGTATGCGTGTAAGTGCTCTTAAGTAGTTAGCTATGTCTCAAGACTCGAATAAGACTTAAACAAGTGACTGACAAAGTCCTCAAATAAACTAACTTCTTGACCGACTGGCAACCCGAACAGTCTGCTTGAACAACAAAGAATGCTAAGCCCAATAGCAATGCAATATCAAGCGACTGCGACACAGAATCAGGAACTGGGAAATAATATAACGACACTAAGTAGGGACCATCAGCAGATCCTCCACAAAAGTTACAAAACTCCCATACTACTGAATCTATGTTCAGCATAGGAAAAACGCGACTGTGACAATACACAGAAACCAGTACAAAATTAGGTCAGAAGCTATAGCTAAGGACCTGAGATGTTCAGAGTGTCTAAGCGACACACAACCTCAGTACAACGTCGAAAATCACTAAGTCTATACAATGTCCTGAGAACAGAGTTCTACAGAACTAACAAGAATATAATGAGACAGACAATCTGTCCAACCACCAAGCGAGTCTAGAGCAGACTGAAAACTTCACGAGAGGTGAGGACACCCCCCTCGATCACGTGATAGCTACGTGGACAACTGCAGCTCAGAAGCCGGCAGTTATAACGAGCGACAGCGATAATTACAGTAGTTTGACAATCAAGACTAACTGAGCACATATTATGTACATCCTAACAACATAAGCTACGTCAAATAACAATATAAGGCAATACATTTGCGATTTAGCTATTATCGCAAATATAAGCAATATAAAATTATATGAAAAGGTAATATACATTACATATATACATAATAATCATTGTAACCCATTCAGGGGTTGCAACACTATGTTACTGACACTTGTGTGTCTCATTTTGTTGCTGATACTTGTGTGTCTCACTATGTTACTGACACTTGTGTGTCTCACTATGTTACTGACACTTGTGTGTCTCACTATGTTACTGACACTTGTGTGTCATACTATGTTGCTGACACTTGTGTGTCTCACTATGTTACTGACACTTGTGTGTCTCATTTTGTTGCTGATACTTGTGTGTCTCACTATGTTACTGACATTTGTGTGTCATACTATGTTGCTGACACTTGTGTGTCTCACTATGTTGCTGACACTTGTGTGTCTCACTATATTGCTGACACTTGTGTGTCTCACTATGTTACTGACACTTGTGTGTCTCATTTTGTTGCTGATACTTGTATGTCTCATTATGTTACTGACACTTGTGTGTCTCACTATGTTACTGACACTTGTGTGTCTCACTATGTTACTGACACTTGTGTGTCATACTATGTTGCTGACACTTGTGTGTCTCACTATGTTACTGACACTTGTGTGTCTCATTTTGTTGCTGATACTTGTGTGTCTCACTATGTTACTGACACTTGTGTGTCTCACTATGTTACTGACACTTGTGTGTCCTCACTATGTTACTGACACTTGTGTGTCATACTATGTTGCTGACACTGTGTGTCTCACTATGTTACTGACACTTGTGTGTCTCATTTTGTTGCTGATACTTGTGTTGTCTCACTATGTTACTGACACTTGTGTGTCTCACTATGTTACTGACACTTGTGTGTTCACTATGTTACTGACACTTGTGTGTCATACTATGTTGCTGACACTTGTGTGTCTCACTAGTTACTGACACTTGTGTGTCTCATTTTGTTGCTGATACTTGTGTGTCTCACTATGTTACTGACACTTGTGTGTCTCACTATGTTACTGACACTTGTGTGTCTCACTATGTTACTGACACTTGTGTGTCATACTATGTTGCTGACACTTGTGTGTCTCAAAGTTGCTGACACTTGTGTGTCTCACTATATTGCTGACACTTGTGTCTCACTTATGTTGCTGACACTTGTGTCTCACTATGTTGCTGACACTTGTGTCTTACTACGTTGCTGACGCTTGTGTGTCTCACAATAATGATCCACAATAATCGTTCATACAGTAATGATCCACACAATAATGATCCACAATAATGAATCACATAATAATGATAATCCACACAACAATGATCCACAGTAATCATTCAAACAAAAATGATCCACACAGTAATGATCCACAATTATGAATCACATAATAATGATCCACACAATAATGATCCACACAACTGTAACACACAACTTGAATCTCAAAGAAATGTTTACAGCTTACGTCCTGGAGTATGACTGGAGTCAGGCCCTAGAGTCTAGTACCTCACACAAGAGTAAGACTGGAGTCAGGCCCTGGAGCCTAGTACCTCACACAAGACTGACTGATCTGACTGCATAAATTTCCAGGAGTGTAACCTCCTCCCCATTCCTCCAACATTATGGCTTCAAGAAATAATCTAAGACGCAGAGTCTTGTTGTATCGTGGCGTCAACCAAGTCACTGGACAACAGTAATTACTTCCGGTAAGTACGTGAGGTTGTCTCCACTGTTCTCTTCTCTGTACCTTGTCTCAGTTTTGCTTTTGCAGGGTGTTTTTTCTTTCTTATTCTTATTTCCGACATAGAGACATCAGTCATAGCAACTCATGATGATTCTAGTACCGCTGTCGACTCTGCTAGTTTGTATGAGAGTTTCACTCACTGAAGACACATTTCATCCACTAAGGAAACTTTAAACATGGTTAAACATGAATTTATATGTCTGGATTATGCATAACGATGAATGTGGATATTAGTTTCAGCTCAAGATCTTTCACACTTCATCCATGTGTCATCAGGAGCTATGCAGTGTTGCAAAAGCAGCAACAAGTGGATGGAGGGAAGTTTTCTCGGAGGAGAGAGTAGCGTCTTAACGCTGACCGCGTCGACACTACCTCTCCTCTGAGAAAATCCACTCAGTCCATTGTTGCTACTCTTGCAACATTGCATAGCTCCTGGTGATGCGTGAGTCATATGAAAATCATTAGCTGAAGATTTCCATACCATGTGGCTTGTCTAGCGTTCTTGAGAACTCTTGTCTGCGACTTTATTGCATTAGCTTATATGTGGAGGCCGTCAGCAAATAACCTTGACAATATTGTCTGTCGTGAGAGGAAGTGTTTTGTATTGTATATTAAATGTATATTATCTTATATTTATTTGTGTTCACTTGGGCGCCCTCGAGGCAGTGTCTTCACACATTCACGTGTTTCTTCACACAAGAAACAGCAACTTATTTCCTTTTCTTTTAGAGAACTTGTTTGTCTTATATTCCCTCACGTACGAAGTGCACCCGTACGAATTTAGCCCTTCTCTCATGCAAGGTGGAGCGCTAAACTCGCATGCTGAAGGAGGTTATTAGCCCTCTCATCAGGCAGTATTGTCGATGAAGACAGAAAAAGTTTGTCTCAGGCGAATATCTCAGTAAACTTCCTCTCTGCAATTGTGTCTTTTCTTTTCTCTCCATTATAAGTCACCATTAACAACACATTGCACATGGGAGAGGCATTCAGTCCACTGTCCCAGGTAAAGCAAAAGAAACGCTACAAGGCCCAGAACTAGAATTTAGAAAGAAACTCAGATGAGTGTGTAAACACTCATAGACGCCAATGAAAATAAGTCTCTTTGTCTGGGTTTTTGTTTTATCCTAGTTAATTTACACATATGTTAAAGTATGTACTTATGTGTACCTGTATCTAAATAAACTTACACATACGGGCACATGCACAATCGCATGTGGAGTGTGTACTAAGTGTAAGCGGTAGTAAGAAGCTTTACCTGTTATCTTACGGGTTCATGAGAAAGAAAGAAGATCAACAATCATGACAAAGTGAAAAACATTTAACAGGTTTCGGTTTCACAGTACATGGCAGTAGTGAAGCAGGTTCCTGGGCGCTCACTCTCTCTCTCTGACTACTACCTACCAATGTAACAATAATAATGATACTCATATTGGCGATTTTTTTTTTCTGATCGGACAACATTTGAACACAAAATTCTTACACTGGTTCTAGGTATGAAGCAATATATAAGACAGGGCGGAGACAAGCTGTATCCGAGCAGCACCTTTCAGGGAAACCCAGGAGAGGAAGCGGGAGGTGGGGGAGCTTGGGAAGTGGGAGAGCTGAGACCTGTTGTGAATGGGGGTTCTTTTGGGAGGAGGGACCTACGGCGTGGTTGGAGGTTGGGGTTCCTGTAAGGGGTGTAAAGCTCCACCCACCACCCCCCACCGCCACTTCTCCCGCGTACAGCGGCTATAAAGTCTTCCACTTAGCTTCATGTCGTCAGTGCTCATCACAGCGACACGACAGTAAAGGTGGGCTTGAATTTCCCAGGTTCTCCTTAGCTATCCGTCCTTAGTTATCCCCAGTGATTTCAAATGCATGTTTAATTCAGTGTCTAGTAAGTTTATTTAGCTACAGGTGTACATAATGCACGAATATGCAACTCGCCCTACAGCTGTTACACGTACTGTTCTAACAGTGAACTAGGTACCTAGATGCTAGTGAGCTGCGCTAGGTCGTATCCTGGGGAGGATACCCCAGTAGAAACTAGTCCCGATATTATATATATATATATATATATATATATATATATATATATATATATATATTATATATATATATATTATATATATTATATATATATATATATATATATATAATATATATATATATATATATATATATATATATATATATATATATTATATATATAATATATATATATTAAATGTATATATATATATTTATATATATATATATATATATATATATATATATATATATATATATATATTATATATATATATATATATATATATATATATATATATATATATATATATATATATATTATATATATATATATATATATATATATATATATATATATATTATATATATTATATATATATATATATATATATATAATATATAAGTAATATACATATATATATATATATATATATATATATATTATATATATATATATATATAATAATATAATATATATATATATATATATATATATATATATATATATATATATATATATATATATATATATATATGTATATATACTATATATATATATTTATATATTTATATATATTATATATATATATATAATATATATTACTTATATATTTATATATATATATATTTGTTACTTACGTAGGATACAACACAAGCTTCCGTGTCGTATCTCCTGAAGTTAAGATTGTAACAAGTTGTGTGTAGTGCATGACAGTAAAGTGAGAGACATTTTACCATATATGAGACGCTCTGCTGTGTCTTACAAATGATGATATTTTGGTTAATTATATTTTCAACGAATCATTCATCCGTATCTTGATAAAGATAAAGATATTTTGAAATAAAAGAGCAAAATATAATTGTTTCCTTCGAAATTAAGATGAAATTATCCTTCAATAGAGCTGATAAATTTTGCAGTTACGAAAAGCAGTCATTTGGAGCCCCACGACATCGTAAAGTTGCCGTCACTGATTGTGATGTCACTCAGGTGATGTTCTCGTAATCTCCACTGTGTGACAGGCCATCCAAAATAATAATTATGATAAGTCATTAAAGCTGTCGTAATTGCTGAACCCATAGTAGAATATTTCAAAGATATTGCCATCCTCCCATTGAAGTCTCCCAAGTCAAGCAGCTTCATGTCATGACCTCATGAGGTTACCAATCATGTGTGATTTACTGTAACAGAGACCAACCTAAGTCATGTAAGATACACATAGTTCTTGATGTTAGTTCATATGACAGGAACAATTACCGAACATGAGTCTGTTATAAGACAACCAGCAGCAGCAGCAGTCACAGCAGCAGCCACAGCAGCAGCAGCCACAGCAGCAGCCACAGCAGCAGCCACAGCAGCAGCAGCCACAGCAGCAGCAGCCACAGCAGCAGCAGCCACAGCAGCAGCTGCTAGACGGACTGGTTGCTGCTGATGCTCTCGCTGCATCGTAGTTAAAATATCATATAAACATAAAATGAGTAAATAAATACCGTATTTCCACTCGGTACAGTAAATAAGTTTTGTGAAACTGGTTGACATTTAAAAATTATTCGCACCTTGCCTGTCTTCACACTGGTTCATTGTAATAAGTTTCATGTAAAACTGAACATTAATGTTTTGTGTTTGGTGACAGATGAGGACTGGCTGGGTAGTGACGCTACTGCTGGTGGTGCTGACGGCAGAGATGACGAGGTCCTGGCCTCAGTATGGAGGAGGAGGAGCCGCACCATCCACAGACCAGCAGCTGCATGAAGCACTGGCGGGGGGCGGCAGTGAGCAGCAGCAGCAGCAGCAGCAGCAGCAGGTGCGGCAGGCCAGGTTCTGAAGGAGTATTCATGAAATGAACTTGGCCATAATTACCGTTTATCATCACATTTCAGCCATGGTTCTTGACGTTCTAATGTACGGTATTATTTGTTTTATCAATTTACATGAACTGACATTCTGAGTATAACTGATAAGGTGGTATTGACAGGGTGGTGACACGGAGGTGTTGACTGAAGACTTCAAGTTCGAGCAAGCTCCTGACTGTTCTAAGGTCAGTGTCCATACCTCACCTTGTACATACATACTATTATTATATTCCTGTAGAAGCGCTAAACCCCTAGGGGTCATGAACCGCCTGGGGAAGGGGCGGTAATTCAGAGTTGATGCAAGAAATGGGAGGGCTGTTCCATTTCCTTTGCTCAAGAATCTATCACCAGCATCAAAATTAACGTAAGAGAGGGAATTCATAACTAATTAAGATTTCTGGCATTCATACACGAGCCGCTGGCACTATGTTTGGCACTGAAGCTGATGTCTACTTTTCAGAACTATGCCTGTGCGCCATGGCAGATATGTATCAACGGTGAGATCGACACGAGCGGTGTAGGACAGCTGAACCTACGATCACCAGTGCCAGTGCCAAAGGAGGTTAGTGCCACTCTTACCAGTGTATAATTAAAGGCATGCAATGCTGATAACTTGTTGAATGACACATGTGTGGGTGAAACATTTCATATATAAAGATACTCAAATGTTGCATATGTATTATTCATCATATACCTGTGTAATTATACTCAGTGCAAAATTGTGACTTGATCTCAGTAAACAATGTGTTGAGAGGTTAACATTAAGTCTCTCCTTCATATCCCCAGAACACTGCCGTTCTGTGTGCAGGCATCGGAAAAATTTGTTGCCTTATTCCCGGCTTAACAGCTGACGTACAGGTAGAGTCTGGAGGTGGTGGGGGTATCATAGAAGGAGGCGTCACAGGTGGTGGAGGGGGCATCATAGAAGGCATCTCAGATGGTGGAGGGGGCATCATTGAAGGTGGGGGTACCTCAGGAAGTGGAGGCATCATAGAAGAAGGAGGCTTCTCAGGTGGTGGGGGTACCTCAGGAAGTGGAGGCATCATAGAAGGAGGCATCTCAGGTGGTGGGGGCATCATTGAAGGTGGGGGTACCTCAGAAGGTGGTTACTCAGGGGGTGGTGGATCAACAGTGGTGGAGGCAACAGGTGGAACAGCACACAGCAGTGGAGGCTCTGGCAGCATCGTAGAGGAGGAATCCAGCGGTGGCCTCGAGCAACAACAAAGTGGAGGTAAGCCTGGCGTCCCTGTCTTACCAGGACAATGTGTCGATGGCTATGAATGCGTCTCAACTTACCTCTGCCATGACGGGAAGATAATAACCTCTGGAGAAGGCTTACTCGACAAGCGTATCGGCGGTAAGCCTATTTCGGTGAGTCTCCCAAATATCTTTCGAAGTGGAATGAGGCACTTGTCCATCATTATGGAAACTTTACTGATGGAACGTTTCCTAAATGAAGATTCCGAAATGTTGAACAAGTGTCTCGTTCTTTAACTTATCGTTTTTCTAAACCATTTACATCACCTTTAGTATTGCCTGGCTATTCTGAAGGAAAAGCTGATATATTATATGCTACGTAATGTGGTAAAGTGCTTTGCTGAAAGAGATTACCATAAAACTCTGTATTCCACAGTGTGTCAACCCTGAATACCCGACAGTCCCTTCTGTGTGCTGTCAGTACCCGTCATGCAAAGCAGGTGACACCTGTGTCGCTAGTGGAGCCTGCACTGGCACCCACGCCACTGACGAGACTGGCAAATATCAGGTCAGTGGAATCATGTCTTACTATGCTCACACTACCAGCAGCACCATGCTCACACTACCCACAGCACCATGCTCACACTACCAGCAGCACAATGCTAACTCTACCAGCAGCACAATGCTCACACTACCAGCAGCACAATGCTCACACTACCAGCAGTACCATGCTCACACTACCAGCAGCACGATGCTCACAATACCAGCAGCACCATGCTAGCACTACCAGCAGCACCATGCTCGCAATACCAGCAGTACCATGCTCACACTACCAGCAGCACAATGTTGGCACTACCAGCAGCACCATGCTCGCACTACCAGCAGCACCATGCTCACACTACCAGCAACACCTTGCTCACACTACCAGCAGCACCATGTTCACACTACCAGCAGCACAATGCTCACACTTCCAGCAGCACCATGCTCACACTACCAGCAGCACCATGCTCACACTACCAGCAGCACCATGCTCAAACTACCAGCAGCACCATGCTCACACTACCAGCAGCACCTTGCTCACACTACCAGCAGTACCTTGCTGACACTACCAGCAGCACCATGCTCACACTACCAGCAGCATCATGCTCGCACTAAAAACAGCACCATGCTCACACTACCAGCAGCATCATGCTCACACTACGAAAGCAAAAGACTTGGCAGACGATGCACCATCCCCCCAATGAAAAGCAGAGGTGTCACTAGCACGTAAAGAGACCATACAATAAGTGTCAGGGGCCCGAGACTGTTCAACTGCCTCCCAGCATACACAAGGGGGATTACCCAACAGACCCCTGGCAGTCTTCAAGCTGGCACTGGACAAGCACCTAAAGTCGGTTCCTGACCATCCAGGATGTGGCTCGTACGTTGGTTTGCTTGCAGCCAGCAGCAACAGCCTGGTTGATCAGGCTCTGATCCACCAGGAGGCCTGGTCACAGACCGGGCCGCGGGGGCGTTGACCCCTGGAACTCTCTCCAGGTAAACTCCAGGTAAACTACCAGCAGCACCATGCTCACACTACCAACAGCACCATGCTCACACTACCCACAGCACCATGCTCACACTACCCACAGCACCATGCTCACACTACAAACAGTACCATGCTCACACTACCAGCAGCACCATGCCCACTCTACCAGCAGCACCATGCTCACACTACCATCAGCACTATGCTCACACTACCCACAGCACCATGCTCACACTATCAGCAGCACCATGCTCACAATACGAGCAGCACCTTGCTAACACTACCAGCAGCACCATGCTCACAGTACCAGCAGCACCATGCTCGCACTACCAGCAGCACCATGCTCACACTACCCACAGCACCATGCTCACAATATCAGCAGCACCATGCTCACACTACGAGCAGCACCATGCTAACACTACCAGCAGCACAATGCTCACACTACAAGCAGGACCACGCTCACTCTACCAGCAGCACCATGCTCACAGTACCAGCAGCACCATACTCGCACTACCCACAGCACCATGCTCACACTACCAGCAGCACCATGCTCACACTACCAGCAGCACCATGCTCACACTACGAGCAGTACCATGCTCACACTACCAGCAGCACCATGATCACACTACCAGCAGCACCATGCTCACTCTACCAGCAGCACCATGCTCACACCACCAGCAGCACCATGCTCACACTTCCAGCAGCACCATGCTCACACTACCCACAGCATCATGGTCACACTACGAGCAGCACCGTGCTCACACTACGCACAGCACCATGCTCACACTACCCACAGCTCCATGTTCACACTACCAGCAGCACCATGCTCACACTACCCACAGCACCATGCTCACACTACCAGCAGCACCATGCTCACACTACCCACAGCACCATACTTACACTACCAGCAGCACCATGCTCACACTACGAGCAGTACCATGCTCACACTACCAGCAGCACCATGATCACACTACCAGCAGCACCATCCTCACACTACCAGCAGCATCATGCTCACAGTACAAGCAGCATCATGCTCACACTATCAGCAGTACCATGCTCACACTACCAGCAGCACCATGCTCACACTACCAGCAGTACAATGCTCACACTACCCAAAGCACCATTCTCACACTACCAGCAGCACCATGCTCACACTACTAACAGCACCATGCTCACACTGCCGACAGCAACATGCTTACACTAACAACAGCACCATGCTCAGACTACCAGCAGCACCATGCTCACACTTCCCACAGCACCATGCTCACACTTCCCACACCACCATGCTCACACTTCCCACAGCACCATGCTCACACTTCCCACAGCTCCATGCTCACACTACCAGCAGCACCATGCTCACACTACCCACAGCACCATGCTCACTTTATCCACATCACCATCCTCACACTTCCCACATCTCCATGCTCACACTACCAGCAGCACCATGCTCACACTACCCACAGCACCATGCTCACACTTCTCACAGCACCATGCTCACACTTCCAACAGCTCCATGTTCACACTACCAGCAGCACCATGCTCACACTACCAGCAGCACCATGCTCACACTACCCAAAGCACCATGCTCACACTACCAACAACACTTTGCTCACACTACCAGCAGCACCATGTTCACACTACCAGCAGCACCATGCTCGCACTACCAGCAGCACCATGCTCACACTACCCACAGCACCATGCTCACAATATCAGCAGCACCATGCTCACACTACGAGCAGCACCATGCTAACACTACCAGCAGCACAATGCTCACACTACAAGCAGGACCACGCTCACTCTACCAGCAGCACCATGCTCACAGTACCAGCAGCACCATACTCGCACTACCCACAGCACCATGCTCACACTACAAGCAGCACCATGCTCACACTACCAGCAGCACCATGCTCACACTACCAGCAGCACCATGCTCACACTACCTGCAGCACCTTGCTCACACTACCAGCAGCACCTTGCTCACACTACCAGCAGCACCATGCTCACACTACCAGCAGCACAATGCTCACACTACCAGCAGCACCATGCTCACACTACCAGCAGCACCATGCTCACACTACCCACAGCACCATGCTCACACTACCAGCAACACCATGCTCAGTCTTCCCACAGCACCATTCTCACACTACCAGCAGCACCATGCTCACACTTCCCACAGCACCATTCTCACACTACTCACAGCACCATGCTCACACTTCCCACAGCACCATGCTCACACTTCCCACAGCTCCATGCTCACACTACCAGCAGCACCATGCTCACACTACCCACAGCGCCATGCTCACTTTACCCACAGCACCATCCTCACACTTCCCACAGCTCCATGCTCACACTACCCACAGCACCATGCTCACACTACCCAAAGCACCATGCTCACACTTCCCACAGCTCCATGTTCACACTACCAGCAGCACCATGCTCACACTACCCACAGCACCATGCTCACACTTCCCAAAGCACCATGCTCACACTACCAGCAACACCTTGTTCACACTACGAGCAGCACCATGTTCACACTACCAGCAGCACCATGCTCACACTTCCAGCACCACCATGCTCACACTACCAGCAGCACCATGCTCACACTACAAACAGCACCATGCTCACACTACCAGCAGCATCATGCTCACACTATCAGCAGCACCATGCTCACATTACCAGCAGCACCATGCTCACACTACCAGTTGCATCATGCTCACACTACCATAAGCACCATGCTCACACTACCCACAGCACCATGCTCACACTACCAGCAGCACCATGCTCACACTACCATCAGCACTATGCTCACACTACCCAAAGCACCATGCTCGCACTACCAGCAGCACCATGCTCACTCTATCAGCAGCACCATGCTCACTCTACCAGCAGCACCATGCTCACACTACCCACAGCACCATGCTCACACTATCAGCAGCACCATGCTCACACTACGAGCAGCACCATGCTAACACTACCAGCAGCACCATGCTCACACTACCAGCAGGACCATGCTCACACTACCAGCAGCACCATGTTCACAGTACCATCAGCACCATACTCGCACTACCCACAGCACCATGCTCACAGTACCAGCAGCACCGTGCTCAAGCTACCAGCAGCACCATGCTCACACTACCCACAGCACCATGCTCACACCACCACCAGCACCACGCTCACACTACCAGCAGCACCATGCTCACACTACCCACAGCACCATGCTCACACTACCCACAGCACCATGCTCACACTACCCACAGCACCATGCTCACACTACCCACAGCACCATGCTCACACTACCCACAGCACCATGCTCACACTACCCACAGCACCATGCTCACACTACCCACAGCACCATGCTCACACTACCCACAGCACCATGCTCACACTACCCACAGCACCATGCTCACACTACCCACAGCACCATGCTCACACTACCCACAGCACCATGCTCACACTACCCACAGCACCATGCTCACACTAAGTCTTTCTGTCCAGAAATTCTTTAAAAAACCTGCAACTTTCTTTCCATTATATGTTCAGACACTTTTTTATAAATAGTAAACAACACCCTCACGATAGCGCTGTATTATCTGCAAACAACACCCTCGCAATAGCACTGTCTAATTAGCAAACAACAACCTCATGAAAGCACTGTCTCATTTGCAAACACCCTCATGATAGCACTGTGTCAACTGCAAACAACACCCTCTCCATAGCGCTGTGTCATCTGTCAAAAGCATCCTCACAGTAGCGCTGTGTCATCTGTCAAAAGCATCCTCACAGTAGCACTGTGTCATCTGTCAAAAGCATCCTCACAGTAGCGCTGTGTCATCTGTCAAAAGCATCCTCACAGTAGCGCTGTGTCATCTGTCAAAAGCATCCTCACAGTAGCGCTGTGTCATCTGTCAAAAGCATCCTCACAGTAGCGCTGTGTCATCTGTCAAAAGCATCCTCACAGTAGCACTGTGTCATCTGTCAAAAGCATCCTCACAGTAGCGCTGTGTCATCTGTCAAAAGCATCCTCACAGTAGCGCTGTGTCATCTGTCAAAAGCATCCTCACAGTAGCGCTGTGTCATCTGTCAAAAGCATCCTCACAGTAGCGCTGTGTTATCTGTCAAAAGCATCCTCACAGTAGCACTGTGTTATCTGTCAAAAGCATCCTCACAGTAGCGCTGTGTCATCTGTCAAAAGCATCCTCACAGTAGCACTGTGTTATCTGTCAAAAGCATCCTCACAGTAGCGCTGTGTCATCTGTCAAAAGCATTCTCACAGTAGCGCTGTGTCATCTGTCAAAAGCATCCTCACAGTAGCACTGTGTTATCTGTCAAAAGAAAGCTCAACTCCCACTTTATATCAGATTCCTTATATGCTCGGACCACTACTGTCCCCATCACTTTACTCTTCACTTTACAACCCCATCAGTGATATTAGTGTTACATGACATCACACATCCCCGTCAACACTTTCAATGGAAATAGTCACCTCTGATATATACCTTATCCCGAGTCTCGTTTCGCTGGTTTCATTATTTCACCACCTACTCTATACATCTGCAACTTATCACTTCTCTGTCACTCTTATGTTCGCATTTCCTAAATTTATGATTGCGACAAGGTACTACACATCTAACGTGGGTTTTCAAATGCCTATACATCGCTCAGGATTGTTTCGTGGGAGCCAATCTGGAACCTGGAGTGTGTTGCACTCCACCGAAGCCGCCGGCACCGCTGCAGACCTGCCCGGGCACGAAGATTTGTGTCACCCAGAACCTCTGTACCTCGTATGGCAACCTCCTAACTGACGGCACCGGCAACATCGATATCAGACTACATTCGGTAAGCTCTCGAAAGTGTTTGTGTGTGGTGTGAAACAGTACCAGTGTTAGTATGTATGGTGTGACGAAGTATTGTGAAAACACTCCATCAATATTACTGTAAGGAAGTATTTCACTACTTGTAATATTTAGCAAATCAATGGAAAGAATGGTGTCAATAGACTGAGGACAATTCTTGTAACCCTCAACTATCGTTCCATCACCTTAACGTCCATTTTAGGTAAGCAATTGGAGATTATTTTTAGAACAAGACATTCAATTTTCTAAAAAATAACCTTAAACCAGCATAGATTGGAAAAGAAAAAAAAATCGTCTTACTAACATACTCGAATTTTACAATTATATATATGAAAACTGGTGGAAAAAAATTCCCAACAAACGCAATATATCTGGATTTCCAGGCCTTCCATTAAGTACCTCTTCGAAGATTAATTGTGGAAATTTATTGGGACCCAAATTCCACTGCCGGATTCGATGTCAATAATTTGACATCGGTCGCGGTGACCTTTAACACATCCTTACCCACCAATAACATTAAGTTTAGTGTTCAGATTGATAGATTTATGTCGTACGGATGATTTAGGTAGGTTGAAATTGTTAGTAAATAATGTTAGAATTAATAATGTAACTTCGACACTAATATTATTTTATACTAGGTAAAGAGATTAGGTATATTGTGAAAGCTATCAACTCTTTGTACAAGAGAGGTTTGTAGATGATGAGAGGTATAGCAGAGGCATACAGGGTTTTCACTCGCCCTTCTAGAAAAAAAAAAAAAACAGCGGTCTGGCAACAGCTAGGGAGCTCCGAGCTCAAGGACCAACGCTGACCTCAAAATACTGTCTGGTGATCAATGATAAAGATCGAAGAGGCTTCCATGAAGGACGGCGAATAGTTTGTCTCTTCCCAGACCTCCGTAGTAAGACAATTTCCTGCTTTTCTCTTAGTATTTACTGGCCGGCAATGCCTTTGGAAATGCATGGTAATTCAGCTACGGGTTACTTTCGGGCAGACGCCCGACTCAGTGGTAAATAGCAGCTGAGATTACTTTGTGATTACCCTTTGAATATTAGACCAGCAACTGGTAATTCCTTACATACATAAATATTAATTGTGGGAACCTCCAAAGATTTCAGGATCTCTAGGATGTTGTTAGATATACTAATAATATTTACCAGCTTGCAAGAATCAGTCCTTCAGTGCACATGGTGTCTTGAAGTGAGGGGGAAGCCATTAGAAATCTCGGTAACTTGGGTAGAATCATGAGATTTCTAGCTAGTATAGACTCCACAAACCAAGTAAGTCTGTTCTAACATTGAGACACTTATGCAACATACGGGAATCTTTATTTAGGAAACGTGTCGGCACACAGTGGCTTCATCAGTCCAATACAAAGCAGAAGGGTGTAAGGAGAGGAGGAGTTTGAGGTAATCAGTCCCTCAGCCTGGAGTCGATGTGTTCAGTCCATCAGTCTTGTAGAATGTACAGCATAGGACCGTAGACGTGGCTTACATACTGTAGTGTCTCAATGTTCAACTTGTCGGTTTTCAAAACCATTCATCACAAGTCTGTTCTAGTTCCTGCATGGAGGCAGGAATTTCCTGCAGCTTAGTTGATTCTCAAAAGAAGTGTACCCTAGGGGTGCTTGTGAGAACGGGACTCGAGGAGTCTTGTTATCTGTGTCAACAGTGATTGGCAGAGTGTTCATAAGTACTTACATTGAGGACAAAAATAAATGCACATAATATACGAGGTAAACTTCATGCCTGGATAAGTGGCTGGCTCAGACAGGAAACAGTGTCGAGAAGCTTCCCCTGAAGACTGGAGTTCCCAGGGTCTGGTTCATGCTTCAATCCTCTTCACAACGTACTTAAATAATCTCGAAGTAGAGCTAGCATCTAGGATAGAAAAAATTTCAGATAACACCAAATTGTGGAAAACTGCAGCACACTAAGCAAATTGTTCGAGTATTTAGTGATCTGGAGAGGTTGGTGCTGTGGTCAGAGACGTGGAAGATGATGTTCAGCTTAGACATTTGCGAATTAATTCTTTCTGAGTATAACACTCTCAAACATTCTGGGTATAACACTCTCAAACATTCTGGATATAACACTCTCAAACATTCTGGGTATAACACTCTCAAACATTCTGGGTATAACACTCTCAAACATTCTGGGTATAACACTCTCAAACATTCAGGGTATAACACTCTCAAATATTCTGGGTATAACACTCTCAAACATTCTGGGTATAACACTCAAACATTCTGGGTATAACACTCTCAAACATTCTGGGTATAACACTCTCAAACATTCTGGGAATAACACTCAAACATTCTGGGTATAACACTCTCAAACATTCTGGATATAACACTCTCAAACATTCTGGGTATAACACTCTCAAACATTCTGGGTATAACACTCTCAAACATTCTGGGTATAACACTCTCAAACATTCTGGGTATAACACTCTCAAACATTCTGGGTATAACACTCTCAAACATTCTGGGTATAACACTCTCAAACATTCTGGGTATAACACTCTCAAACATTCTGGGTATAACACTCTCAAACATTCTGGGTATAACACTCTCAAACATTCTGGGTATAACACTCTCAAACATTCTGGGTATAACACTCTCAAACATTCTGGGAATAACGCTCTCAAACATTCAGGGTATAACACTCTCAAACATTCTGTGTATAACACTCTCAAACATTCTGGGTATAACACTCTCAAACATTCTGTGTATAACACTCTCAAACATTCTGGGTATAACACTCTCAAACATTCTGGGTATAACGCTCTCAAACATTCTTGGTATAACACTCTCAAATATTCTGGGTATAACACTCTCAAACATTCTGGGTATAACACTCTCAAACATTCTGGGTATAACACTCAAACATTCTGGGTATAGCACTCTCAAACATTCTGGGTATAACACTCTCAAATATTCTGGGTATAACACTCTCAAACATTCTGAGTATAACACTCTCAAACATTCTGGGTATAACACTCTCAAACATTCTGGGTATAACTCTCAAACATTCTGGGTATAACACTCTCAAACATTCTGGGTATAACACTCTCAAACATTCTGGGTATAACACTCTCAAACATTCTGGGTATAGCACTCTCAAACATTCTGGGTATAACACTCTCAAACATTCTGGGTATAACACTCTCAAACATTCTGGGTATAACACTCTCAAACATTCTGGGTATAACACTCTCAAACATTCTGGGTATAAAAACTTTCAAACATTCTGGGTATAACACTCTCAAACATTCTGGGTATAACACTCTCAAACATTGTGGGTATAACACTCTCAAACATTCTGGGTATAACGCTCTCAAACATTCTGGGTATAACACTCACAAACATTCTGGGTATAACACTCTCAAACATTCTGGGGATAAACGCTCTCAAACATTTGGGTATAACACTCTCAAACATTCTGGGTATAACACTCTCAAACATTCTGGGTATAACACTCTCAAACATTCTCGGTATAACACTCTCAAACATTCTGGGTATAACACTCTCAAACATTCTGGGTAAAACGCTCTCAAACATTCTGGGTATAACAATCTCAAGCATTCTGGGTATAACACTCTCAAACATTCTGGGTATAACACTCTCAAACATTCTGGGTATAACACTCTCAAACATTCTGGGTATAACACTCTCAAACATTCTGGGTATAACACTCTCAAACATTCTGGGTATAACACTCTCAAACATTCTGGGTATAACACTCTCAAACATTCTGGGTATAACAATCTCAAGCATTCTGGGTATAACACTCTCAAACATTCTGGGTATAACACTCTCAAACATTCTGGGTATAACACTCTCAAACATTCTGGGTATAACACTCTCAAACATTCTGGGTATAACACTCTCAAGCATTCTGGGTACAACACTCTCAAACATTCTGGGTATAACGCTCTCAAACATTCTGGGTATAACACTCTCAAACATTCTGGGTATAACGCTCTCAAACATTCTGGGTAAAACACTCTCAAACATTCTGGGTATAACACTCTCAAACATTCTGGGTATAACACTCTCAAACATTTTGGGTATAGCACTCTCAAACATTCTGGGTATAACACTCTCAAACGTTCTGGGTATAACACTCTCAAACATTCTGGGTATAACACTCTCAAACATTCTGGGTATAACACTCTCAAACATTCTGGGTATAACACTCTCAAGCATTCTGGGTACAACACTCTCAAACATTCTGGGTATAACGCTCTCAAACATTCTGGGTATAACACTCTCAAACATTTCTGGTATAACGCTCTCAACATTCTGGGTAAAACACTCTCAAACATTCTGGGTATAACACTCTCAAACATTCTGGGTATAACACTCTCAAACATTTTGGGTATAGCACTCTCAAACATTCTGGGTATAACACTCTCAAACGTTCTGGGTATAACACTCTCAAACATTCTGGGTATAACACTCTCAAACATTCTGGGTATAACACTCTCAAACATTCTGGGTATAACGCTCTCAAACATTCTGGGTATAACACTCTCAAACATTCTGGGTATAACACTCTCAAACATTCTGGGTATAACACTCTCAAACATTTTGGGTAAAGAACTCTCACACATTCTGGGTATAACTCAAACATTCTTGGTATAACACTCCCAAACATTCTGGGTATAACACTCTCAAACATTCTGGGTATAACACTCTCAAACATTCTAGGTATAGCACTCTCAATCATTCTGGGTATAACACTCTCAAACATTCTGGGTATAACACTCTCAAACATTCTGGGTATAACACTCTCAAACATTCTGGGTATAACACTCTCAAACATTCTGGGTATAACACTCTCAAACATGACCACAAAACATTTGGCAACAAACTAACCAAAGCCAGAAAGAAATTATTTTCTAGTAATCATAAGCAATGACCTAAAAAATAGTAAGCAATGGGTGTGTGTAAGCAGCAAAGCTGACAAAGTACTGGTGGCAGCTTCAGTACTCTCAGTGTGGAGATACACAGCTTCAGTACTCTCAGTGTGGAGATACACAGCTTCAGTACTCTCAGTGTGGAGATACACAGCTTCAGTACTCTCAGTGTGGAGATACACAGCTTCAGTACTCTCAGTGTGGTGATACACAGCTTCAGTATCTCAGTGTGGGAGATACACAGCTTCAGTACTCTCAGTGTGGAGATACACAGCTTCAGTACTCGCAGTGTGGAGATACACAGCTTCAGTACTCTCAGTGTGGAGATACACAGCTTCAGTACTCTCAGTGTGGAGATACACAGCTTCAGTACTCTCAGTGTGGAGATACACAGCTTCAGTACTCTCAGTGTGGAGATACACAGCTTCAGTACTCTCAGTGTGGAGATACACAGCTTCAGTACTCTCAGTGTGGAGATACACAGCTTCAGTACTCTCAGTGTGGAGATACACAGCTTCAGTACTCTCAGTGTGGAGATACACAGCTTCAGTACTCTCAGTGTGGAGATACACAGCTTCAGTACTCTCAGTGTGGAGATACACAGCTTCAGTACTCTCAGTGTGGAGTTTACACAGCTTCAGTACTCGCAGTGTGGAGATACACAGCTTCAGTACTCTCAGTGTGGAGATACACAGCTTCAGTACTCTCAGTGTGGAGATTACACAGCTTCAGTACTCTCAGTGTGGAGATACACAGCTTCAGTACTCTCAGTGTGGAGATACACAGCTTCAGTATCTCAGTGTGGAGATACACAGCTTCAGTACTCTCAGTGTGGAGAACACAGCTTCAGTACTCTCAGTGTGGAGATTACACAGCTTCAGTACTCTCAGTGTGGAGATACACAGCTTCAGTACTCTCAGTGTGGAGATACACAGCTTCAGTACTCTCAGTGTGGAGATACACAGCTTCAGTACTCTCAGTGTGGAGATACACAGCTTCAGTACTCTCAGTGTGGAGATACACAGGTACTGAGATTCCTAAATCACATTTGTCCATCCGTTATCACGTTATTGTTTATGTTAGCCATCATTATTATTACATTCATGGTCCGCAAGACCTATAGAGTCTTGTCATACAGCAGTATAGTGAATAGGAAGCATTCAGATTCAATCCATAGGGGAGGACAGGTCCAATTCCTTGGATCAAGAGCCTCTTACCGGCAAGAAACGGGCAGAGACATCATTTGCAAAGCTCAACTTGTCATGAACTAAGCAACACATCTTTTATGTTCATGAACCAAAAATTAGCGAATATATAAAAAAAGTGGTTATAACTATGACAATTTTTAAAGGGGTGGACTGGTAAGCCAGCGGAAGGCCTTAGTCAGATGACCAAAAGCTTCAACGGCGGGTCATCATCTAAGACCTGCGTCAGGAAACACTTATCCTGTTTCCTGACGAACCTCACCTAACCTAAGTGAATATCAAAACTGTTAGATTATTCTCATAGAGAACATTCAAAATCAACAATAAGTAGATAATGTCATCAGAGGTAGTGTAGACAGTCATCATTACAGTCTTGTATACATGACTCCCACAGATCTGCTATCTAGGCAAAGATGATCCTAATGGTGTGTGTTGCGAGCCTCCCAAGCCACTCACCACCTGTCCAGGAGACGGTACCTCAGTGTGTGTTCCCTCAGGAACCTGTAGCGGACAGGTAACACAAAGTGCTGCTGGTGACAGCCAGGTAAGACCTTTATGTTGTAAAATATACATTATGTGCTCATATGTTACAACTCACATTACATGGCCATCAAACATTTTCTGAAACGCAGTGTCATGGTGCTAGAGACCATCAGATCTAATAGACAGAAATCCACGCCACAGGCATGTTATCTGGAGGGCAGTACGACAGAGGTGGGGCAGTGTTGTACTCCACCACCACCATTAACTACGTGTCCAGGGGAGGAGACCTGTCTCGTAGCTGACCTCTGCTACACCGCTGACAAGAAACCCAGCCCTTCAAACTCGGTGAGAATACCCTTCTCTCTTCTTGGTATTGTACCAACCACTCCCCAGTCTTCATCTATATATATATATATATAAATTATATTATATATATATATATATATATATATATATATTATATATATAATATAATATATTATATGTGTGTGTGTGTGTGTGTGTGTGTGTGTGTGTGATGTGTGTGTGTGTGTGTGTGTGTGTCTCGTCCCGAATATGTAAAACTGGCATTTAGTAAGAATCATTTAAAATTAAGTCCTTTCTGAAATTTTCTCCAATACGTTTTAAAGATATATTTTTTTCATTAAATGTTAATGTAAAAATTTTTATTTTGCACCAAAAGAATCTTAGAAAATCTTACCTAACCTTATTATAACAAGAGCAATTTATTATAGCCTAACCCAACTAAAATATTTTAATACGTTTTACAAAAATTTATTACTAAACAAACACAATCAAATATATTTTTTTCGTTAGGTTCAGAATAATTTTGGCGAAATTATTGCATATACAAATTTTCACTTGTCCTATATGGCAAGATGAGCTTTGCTATTTAAGTCAAGATCACAAGTTCTGCCTATTCGGCACGACATATATATATATTATATTATATATATATATATATATATATATATATATATATATATATATATATATATATATATATATATATATATATATCAAGTATGTTTTTATTTAAAGACAAAATACATTGGCCAAACATTCACAAAAATACAACAGAAAGTAAAACAACATAGGTAACTCAGAGCTACCTCTCGAATACTTACTTCAGCTCCCCTGTGGTGGGCTGCGTGCCCAGAATGCTGCAGGCATTTCCTCTCTGGATCGCAACACTGAGTCTCTGAAAGAGGAAGCTGGTCGCCCTGTGGTCCTTGGTTTCTATGATGAGCTTTTCACCCAGCTCTTTGAGGAACTTTAGAGCACACTTGCCCCATGCTCCAAGGGTCTCCGACCCTATTGGAATGAAGTTACAGCAAGGGGAAGGTCTTCATATTTTCGGATCTTCTGGGTCTCCCTGTGGCTGGCAGCTCCACCTCCTTCCACTACAGAGTATGGCAAGTAGGTGTCTGCCAATGTGGCGGCACAGGTATAGTCCCAGGCAATCTGCTTTCCATCCTTCCAGGGTAGCATAGTGACTCCATCAGGACGCTTTTGACTTCCATCAGACCTCTATACTTAGGGTTCCCGTTTAGCTGGGCAACGGGCTGTGGCGAGGCTTCTGTTTATGATGTTGTTGACCTCCTCATGTCTGGTATACTCCCCTTCTGCTGTGTGACACACGAGACCATGAAGTCCGAATTGATCAACTGTCGCCCTGCCGCAAATACACCTATGTTCGGTGAGGATGGGGGCGGCTAGGCGAAGAGCAACACCAATCCGAATGGTCTGTGGGTCAAGACGGGTGCCCAGGGAGGAATTGGGAACAGCTAACATAAAATCTCCTGGGTGTGGTGCCTTCACTGCCAGGAGACGAGCTTTGTCCTTTCCTGAAGCATTGGAGAGCACTGTGTTGGCGATTTTTTCCATGATCGGTTTGTCCCAGTGGGACTGTTTGTGCTCTTTGGGAGGAGCTGGTCTACTGGAGGAGTCTGTAAGGGTGTCCCACCGAATCACTGCTTCAGTAAACCTGGGGTCTTGAGCTCCTACCACGTCTCTTAAGCGTTCGGGAACTATCTTCTTGATTAATGCACTGGAAGCCAAACACGAAGGCAGAAAAGCAGGTAAAGCAACATGCGTTGCTTTGCACACCCCTATATCTCCCAGTTGTACTGGGAGGGTTGCCTGATCCCATTGCTCATCCTCTAGTGACAGGTTCAGTGCCTTCTTAAAAGTTGATCTCAGGTATGTGTCATATTCATCATATGCTGGGTTGTCAAAAGAGGGTGCACACCTCAGGAAGTAAGTGAGTCTTGGCATATTAAGACACCTTGTGGGGAGATACAGAGCATCATGGGCATCAAGATCGCATATTCTCTCCTCCATTCTCATCAGGTCATTCAATTTATCCCTGAGGACAGTGTCGATGGCCTGGTGACCCAGCGGTGCTCCCAAGAGGGTACTGTTGGACGGAGTGGTAGTTGAGACTTCCGGGAGGATTCTTCGCACAGCATTGATTATTTCCTGGTTCGCTGTGATGATTTCACACTTGGAGGGATTGAGGATGAGTCCCAAGTCTTCTCCCTGTGTTTTCACCTGTTGTAGGTCCCCCACGAGGGACTCTTCAGTACCTGCCAGAGTGCCATCATCCAGGTACCAGATATTGAGCTCACTGCATAGGCTGGAAGTTAGTTCTCTTACTGCCAAGCAGAAGAGAAGTGGAGCGAGTGGGTCACCCTGCTGAACACCCTCTGATGATTGAATTTCATGTTCTCCGAACAAAAGAATTGAAGGTTTGCTGTAGCCGGCTGAAATGAAGGGAAAAAGACTGGGGAACTGATCCCGAACAGCTGACAAAACAGCATCTCTCTTCACCATATTAAAGGCATTTCTAAAATCAAGTTTGACTATGGCCTTGTCTTCTGGTAGGTCCCTGATGTAGGCCCTTGCGGCATGAGCTGCGGCTTCACTGCCTTGAGAGACCCCAAAGCCCAGTTGGTGTGGCTGGAGTAAAGTGGCAGCTTCTAGGAGAATGTTTCTCACTGCTGCTTTGGCAACGAGACGGCGAAGAGTGTTTCCAACTGCAATGGGTTTGATTCCCCCATCCCTCTTCTTCAAAGCACATAGTGAGGCTCCAAAAATGAAAGGTTTAATTTCTTCTGGGATTCGCCCAGCCAGGCAATTGTTGACGAAAATTGTTAACTCGGTGAGAAGAATTGATGCAGATTCACCGAGTACTGGATTTACCATCTCTTTGAGGTGCTGAGGTCGAATTCCAGTGTAACCTCCTGCAGATCCTGCTGGAAATGACACAATCGCCTTATAGACTTCCGATTCTGGCAAAATTAATTGTTCAGTGATGGGGTCTTCCTCAGGGTTGTCGTTGATGGCTATGGTGTCCCTGGTTGGATTCTTGTCTCTTAGTGCTTGGGCTCTGGTCTCATCCTTGGGGGCTACAGTGTCGTCACTTGTAATTATTCTTATTGCTCCCACTGTGTTACCTTCTTCGATTTTTTTGCTAACCTGTGCGCAAATTTTCTCGTTTTCAGTGGGACTTTTCTTTGATTCCTGCGATGACGGGGCAGAGGGACACAATTATCCGTTCTTGGGTAGTTGCGCACTGCCTTGATAACTGGCGTGGTTAGCAGTTTGCTCGTCTTTTAGGAACTGCAAGACAGACAATAAGAACATAAGAACATAAGAACGAAGGAACACTGCAGAAGGCCTACTGGCCCATGCGAGGCAGGTCCAAGTCCCTACCGGCTTAAGCCAATGCACCCAACCTAGTCAGGTCAGGTCACATTGAGTTAAGGGAGGAACACGGCAACCGACCTGTTAGCACAAGCTATCAGGTCTAACTCACACCCACCCACATCTACTCATGTATTTATCCAACCTATTTTTAAAGCTACACAACGTTCTGGCCTCTATAACGGTACTTGGGAGTTTGTTCCACTCATCCACAACTCTATTACCAAACCAGTACTTTCCCATATCCCTCCTGAATCTGAATTTTTCCAACTTAAAACCATTGCTGCGAGTCCTGTCTAGGCTAGATATTTTCAGCACACTATTTACATCCCCTTTATTTATTCCTGTCTTCCACTTATAAACCTCAATCATATCCCCCCTGATTCTACGTCTTTCTAGAGAGTGCAGTTTCAGGGCCTTAGTCTATCCTCATAGGGAAGGTTTCTGATACATGGGATCATCTTTGTCATCCTCCTTTGTACATTTTCCAGAGAATTTATATCCATTCTGTAATACGGTGACCAAAACTGTGCAGCATAATCTAAATGAGGCCTAACCAAGGATGTATAGAGTTGAAGAACAACCTGAGGACTCCTATTATTTATGCTTCTTGATATGAAGCCAAGGATTCTATTAGCTTTATTGCGAACACTTATGCACTGTTGTCTTGGTTTCAGATTACTGCTAACCAGAACTCCTAAATCTTTTTCGCAATCCGTAATATTAAGATCTACATTATTTAGTTTATATGTGGCATGGTTATTGTCCTGTCCAACATTTAGAACTTTGCATTTGTCTATATTAAACTGCATCTGCCACTTCTCCGACCACTGCATCAGTCTATTCAAATCTTCCTGGAGTGCTCGAATGTCCTCGTCAGAATGAATTCGACGGCCTATTTTGGTGTCATCGGCAAACTTGCCGATGTCGCTCTTTATGCCTCATCTATGTCGTTTATGTAGATTGTGAACAGCAGGGGGCCCAACACTGACCCTGTGGAACACCGCTCGTGACGCTTCCCCACTCTGATTTCTCCCCATTTATGCAAACTCTCTGCTGCCTATTTGTCAACCATGCCTCTATCCAGGAAAAAATTTCTCCTCCTATTCCATGTGCTTTAATTTTCCTCAATAGTCTCTGATGTGGGACCCTGTCAAAAGCCTTACTGAAGTCCATATACACAATATCATATTCATTACCATGATCTACCTCCTCAAATACCTTAGTGAAAAAAGTTAATAAATTCGTAAGGCAGGAACGCCCCTTTGTAAAACCATGCTGAGATTCGTTGATTAATTTATGCTTTTCAAGGTGGCTACGAACTGCCTCGGCAATTATTGATTCCATAAATTTTCCCACTATGGAGGTTAGGCTTATTGGTCTATAGTTCGAAGCTAAGGACCTGTCACCTGTTTTGAAAATAGGTATCACATTTGCCATTTTCCACTTATCTGGCACCATGCCAGTTTGTAGTGATATGTTGAAAAGATTAGCCAAAGGTGTGCTAAGCTCCTCTTTACATTCCTTTAGAACCCTTGCATACAGTTCATCAGGGCCTGGGGATTTGTTAGGTTTTAATTTATCTATTTGCCTAAGGACCATGTCACTTGTGACCCTAATCGTGCACAGTTTATTATCGTCCTGTTCTACATAATTTATCATTACTGGAATATCGCTGGTATCCTCCTGTGTAAAAACTGAGAGGAAGTATGTGTTAAAAATTCTACACATTTCCTTATCACTGTCAGTGAGCTGACCCGAGGAACTTTTGAGTGGGCCTATCTTGTCCCTGATCTTACTTCTGTATACCTGAAAGAATCCTTTTGGGTTAGTCTTCGATTCTCTTGCAACTTTAACCTCATAATCTCTTTTTGCTTTTCTAATTCCCTTTTTTATTTCTCTCTTTAACTGAATATATCGATTTCTTAATTGCCCCTCTCCTCTTTTGATTTGCCTATATATGCCTCTCTTTTGACCAATCAGATATTTTAATCTATTGTTCATCCATTTAGGATCATTTTTGTTTGATCTGATTTCCCTATTTGGAACATAATTTGACTGAGCAGCTAGAACTATGCCCTGGAAAGCATCATATCGGCAACCATCACCACCTACCTGACCCCTAGTCAGGTCATTCCAGTTCAGCCCACCTAAGTAATTTTTCAGTCCTATGAAATCAGCCAAGCGAAAGTCAGGGACGGAGACTTGATTGCCATTATTAGGGGAATTCCATGATATGTTAAAACTGAGTGATTTGTGATCACTCTCCCCAAGCTCATCATTAACCTCAAGATTATTAATTAGTGTTTCCCTACTGGCAAGAACCAAGTCAAGGAGGTTATTTCCCCTAGTTGGCTCTGTCACAAACTGTTTTAAAAAACAATCCTGGATCGTATCAAGAAAGTCACCCGACTCTAAATTTCCTGTCAAATTGCTCCAGTCAATCTGTCTATAGTTGAAATCTCCCATTAGCACAACATTTTCGTATGTAGATGCCTTACGAATTTCATCCCATAGAAGTTTACTGCACTCCCTATCAAGATTTGGGGCCCTGTAAATCACACCCAAAATTAGTTTTTCTCGGCCCTCGAGAAGCTGTAACCAAACAGATTCAGTGGCTGACGCTTCTAATTTAATATCTTGTCTAACACAACAATTTAAATTGTCTCTGACATACATCGCTACTCCACCACCTTTCCTGTTGACCCTGTCAGTGTGGAATAATTTATAGCCTTGTATGTGACATTCAGAGGGCATCTCTCTATCTTTCAGATTGAGCCAGGTCTCTGTTATAGCAATAATATCTATGTTTCCTGCACTTGCAATTAATCTTAGCTCATCTATCTTATTTCTAACACTCCTGCTATTAGTATAGTAAACCTTAAGGGAGCTAGTCCCTTGCTGCCCTCTGCTGTCCCCCTTTGTTTGCTGACCTGTTCTATTGTCTTTATTTATAACTTCATGCTGAATGCCTTTTATACATTTAATGTTTCCAACCCTAGTGTTGCAACCTGCTTGTTTCCCACACACACCCATACCTCTATCTTCCATCAGTTTAAAATCATAGGCATTTCACCAATGGCCTTCTCAATCGAGTCTGCAAGTGCTACCACCCCTGCCCCAGAGAGATGAACCCCATCCCTTGCATACATATCATGTTTGCCATAAAAGTTGTTCCAGTTGTCAATGAATGGGATTGCAAGCTCCTTGCAGTATCTGTCTAGCCAGCAATTTACACCAATTGCCCTAGACAACCATTCATTTCCTACTCCCGAACAAGAGTAGGTTGCGCCATGTTTGGATGGTGCCTCGGGCTTCTAAGTTGGTGGAACCTCCATTCACCCGCTTAAGAAGGTCTGTGAATTTCCCTGCTGCATATGGGCGAGCCGCTTTAGGGATGTGGGATAGTGTACTGCTAGCAGTGGATTTGAATGCCAACAGAAGGTTATCGCAAGTGACGAGGTTGCCATTGGAATTGTCATATATATATATATATATATATATATATATATATATATATATATATATATATATATAATATATATATATATATATATATATATATATATATAAATAGATAGATAGTTAGATATACACACACACAGGGTGACCCAAAAGTCTGGCCATATAGTCAACTGGTGTGGGTCGCATCCTGGGACAAAACTAACCTAATTTGCCCGAAATGCTCTGCATAACAAGCGGCTTTCTATATTGTAGTATGTCACTGATGTCAACTAGACCTATATACCTTGTACATGTACTTGTAGAAATAAAGATATTATTATTATTATTATTATTATTATTATTATTATTATTAATGATAATATCAAAGAAGTGATATTTTGCGATTAATGTTTTGACGATTGTTCTGAAATAACTTAATTGTACAATGGTAGAACAAATGTACGCTTGAACTATTATATAAATACTCGCTTGAACTATTTTATAAATGCACGCTTAAACATATTATAATCTATTTTCTCTTCATTCAAAGTTACTTGTAACTGAGCTGATAAGGGCACGTTTCCTTACACCTGCTGTATACATTTATATACATGCATTAGTAAATATGTTAGTTATTTTGGGTTGCATCCCAGGATTGACGCCATTGCAGAGTATTAGATATTAATTATCCTTCTGTGTTAAATTATGTCTTTTTCTTACGATGACTTCTCTCCCCAGCCATGTTACGTTAATCCCAACATCGTGGGCGTGTGCTGCTACCCAGCTCCTCCGCCCACTGTGCCCGTCCTTGACACCTGCCCTGACAATTCAGTGTGTCTGCCAGATATACTCTGCCAGGGAGATATTCTGAACGAGGCTGGTGCCTACGTCTCCCACTCCAGCGGCGGCAAGTGGTCACAGTGTCTCCTCAGTGGTACAGGATTAGCAGTTCCCGGAGTGTGCTGCCGTAATCCCACACCGCCAACACCTGATACATCTTACCCGGCCGCAGACAAGTGTGGCGTCCATAACATTGCCCTGGATACTCGCATCCAAAACAAAGACCTTAAGTATTACCAGACAACCTTCGCAGAGTTTCCTTGGCAAGCCATTATCTTCTTCTCTAATTTCACTTTCAAGTGCGGTGCGTCCCTCATCGGTGATCGCTGGTTGCTAACCGCTGCGCATTGTGTTAAAGACTTACCTGTGAATGACCTGCGCGTGCGGCTCGGTGAGTGGCAAGTTGACCAGTACAAGGAACCCCTGCAGTACTACGACGCAAATGTGGCATCCATTAAAATTCATCCACTATTCAATCCTAAAAACGTACATAACGGCATTGCTGTGGTAGAGTTGTCCGTACCTGTGGTATTCCAATATCACATTAACACAATATGTCTTCCAAATAAGGGACAAATATTCCCTAAAGGGACTCGGTGCTTCGCTACGGGCTGGGGTAAGGATGCCTTCGATGGTGGTAAGTATCAAGTAATCCTGAAGAAGGTCGAGGTGCCAGTCGTGCCTAATCCTGAATGCCAGGGGCTACTGCGTAAGACGCGCCTGGGCAAATTCTTTATCCTGGATAAGTCGTTCATGTGTGCTGGAGGGGAGGAGAAGAAGGACGCCTGTGAGGGAGATGGAGGTGGCCCACTGGCTTGCCAGGATCAAACCACAGGAGACTATGTCCTTACCGGCATCACCGCCTGGGGTATCGGCTGTGGCCAGAAAGATGTGCCTGGTGTGTATGTTGATGTGCAGTACTTCCGTGAGTGGCTGGATGGTATCATCAACCAGCAGGATGGTCAACAACAACAGCAGCAGAGCTCAGGGGGTTACAGCGGAAAGTAAGATACACATGTTACAGTTCTATATCACTATTTCCTCCGTAATGCGTCTTGTCTATTTTTATATTAGGTCACCATAATAATAATGTAATACTCAAAAATATAATCTGTGATATGTCTTTTCTAATAAACAGAATTTTCGACAACTTGTTGAGTTCGTTCTTTCCTTAATGCCAAAATTCACAAACGTACAGGTAAGCGTACGTGTTTAAACTCACACATATACAATGTGTGAACCACTGACAGTGATCTTCAACAAATCGATTTAAACAGGGCAGTTTCCAGAGGTCTGGAAAACAGTGAAAGTAGTCCTAATATTCAGAAAAGGGGACAGACAGGTGGCGATAAATTACAGGTCAGTGTCACTAACATGTATAGTAAATAAAGTAAGTTATGGAGAAAATTATCAAAAGTAGGGCAGAGGAGCTCTATAAGGTAACAAAAATTAGGCTGGAGAGAGAGGTTAGTTAGTTTAATATTTTTATTATGCACCACATACCCATCCTGTGGGCTGTAATCACAGGATTACAAAGATACTTAATGGATCCAGGGACTGGACCCCAAAGTTATGATCAGGGCCGGATTACCGCATAGGCAAACTAGGCATTTGCCTAGGGCCCCGCGCATTTGGCGGCCCCGCGGTCCAAGGGGTTCAGGGGCTCATCCAAGACTGCGCACATGGTGCAAGTGCAAAGGGGTCCCTACCTAAAAAGTTCAAGTGTTTGGAGAGTAAAATTGATTTTTAAAAATTAATCAAAACAAAAATAAATAATGAAATAAAATAAAATAAAAATAAATAAACCTAACCATAGATGGTAACACTCAACACGCCTTTGTTTACATCAGAACAGCTGTGTTTTCCCGCTAATGGGTGAGTATGGGAGATTCCTCTCCAATTTTCTGTAGTAATTACACGTTATCTAGACTTGTACTGTGACAAATTAACTGAAGTGTTGTTGATAGAATTGAGAGAAGCTGCATTAAAGTTGCAACAACACCTTTCAGCAGATGTTCAGGACACATTTGTTGAAGAAATAGTTCATTTTTCTGGGTATATGAATCAGATTAAAGCTCCACCTGAAAAATGTGCGCCCTCAGCTGCTTTGAAACATTTAAGAAATGCAGATATCTCAGAAACCTTCCCTAATGTTGACATAGTGTATCGCCTTTACCTAACACTTCCAGCTACTAACTGTGAAGGAGAACGTTCATTTTCTGTTTTGAAAAGAGTGAAAAACCAGCTCCGTTCAACAGTGAGCCAAGACAAATTGTGTAACCTACCCTTGTTGACCATTGAGTCTGATCTAACAAGAAATATTGATTTTCAGAGTATAATTGATGATTTTGCCAATAAGAAATCCAGAAAAAAATTTATTTAAGAAGTGCCTGTGAATATAAACAATTCTTGACTTTCTTGAGTTTATATGATTTGATAGTCTTATGCATGATGCAATGATAACAATAATGGTCAGTGATTTATAAAGGGAATAATAGTGCTGTAGTGGTTATGCTGAATATAATAGGTACATGATGTCACTACTTTAATAGCCTAATCTAGTAATACTATGCTGTCTTGAGTTTATTCTCTTTAAAATGCATGATTTAACAAGATAGTTATAATGGCTGTTGGTAAATGGTTTTGGTTGTCTTGATGTACTTTCCCTATTAAATTTAATCTAAATAGCCAGAATGTATTTAATTAGACCTTAAACAGGCTCACACCGACCCCCCCCCCACCCCCAAGCTGGAAGCGGTCGCTTCGCTTACCCGTAACTCAAAGGGGCTCCGTCAATCTGAATAGCCTAGGGCCCGGAGACTTCTTAATCCGGCCCTGGTTATGATAGCTGAACTAGTTACAAAGGTAATGAACTCCAGGTAGATCTGGTCACAATCATGACCAAGTTACAAAGATAATGAATCATCTACATGTCTATACTTGGTTACAATGAATAAATTACAAAGTAATGAGCAATTCACATGTCCACACCCAGTCACAACTGAAATGAGTTATTAGTGCAAATATTAATTGGGTCACATACACACACACACATGCACACACACAAAGGTGCAGGGAGGTAAAAGCAAAATGCACTAGAGAATGGAAAAAGTACAGAAGATAAAGGACCCAGGAAAATAAAGAGATCAGTCGAAGAGCCAGAAATGAGTATGCACAGATAAGGAGGGAGTCCCAGCGACAGTACGAAAACGACATAGCGTCAAAAGTCAAGTCCGACACGAAGCTGTTGTATAGCCACATCAGGAGGAAGACAACAGTCAAGGACCAGGTAATCAGGCTGAGGAAAGGTGGGGAGCTCACAAGAAACGGCCAAGAAGTGTGAGGAGCTCAATATGAGATTTAAGGAAGTATTTACAGTGGAGACAGAAAGGACTCTGGGAGGTCAGAACAGAGGGTACACCAACAAGGGATATACCAACAAGTGTTAGATGAAATATACACAACCGAGGAGGTGAAGAAGCTGCTAAATGACTTTGATACCTCAAAGGTGGTGGGACCGGACATCTCTCGTTGAGCCCTTAGAGAGGGAGCAGAGGTACCTGTGTGCCACTAACCACAATCATCAACACATCCCTTGAAACTGGGCAACTACCTGAGGTATGGAAGATGGCAAATGTAGTTTCCATCTTTAAGAAAGGAGACAGAAACGAAGCACTAAACTATAGACCAGTGTCATTGACGTGTATAGTATGCAAAGTCATGGAGAAGATTATCAGGAGAGTGGTGAAGCATCTAGAACGCGACAAACTTATTAACGACAACCAACACGAATTCATGGAAGGCAAATCCTGTGTCACAAACCTACTGGAGTTTAATGACAAGGTAACAGGAGTAAAACACGAGAGAGAGGGGTGGGTAGATTGCTTTTTCTTGGACTGCAAGAAGACCTTCGACACAGTTCCTCACAAGAGATTAGAGCAAAAGTTAGAGGATCAGGCACAAATAACAGGAAGGACGCTGCAATGGATCAGAGAATACCTGACAGGGAGGCAACAACGAGTCATGGTACGTGACGAGGTATCACAGTGAGCACCTGTGACCAGCGGAGTTTCACAGGGGTCAGTCCTAGGACCTGTGCTATTTTTGGTATATGTGAATGACATAATGGAAGGGATGGACTCAGAAGTGCCCCTGTTTGCAGATGATGTGAAGTTAATGAGGAAAATTAAATCAGATGAGGACCAGGCAGGGCTACAAAGAGACCTGGACAGGCTGGAAGCTTGGTCCAGCAACTGGCTCCTCGAATTTAACCCCACCAAATGCAAAGTCATGAAGATTCGGGAAAGGGCAAAGAAGACCGCAGACCAAGTATAAGCTAGGTGGCTAAAGACTGCAAACCTCACTCAAGGAAAAGGTGAGTATAATACCGAGCACATCTCCTGAAGCGCACATCAACCAGATAACTGCTGCAGCCTATGGGCGCCTGGCAAACCTGAGAATAGCATTCCGATACCTTAGTAAGGAATCGTTCAAGATTCTGTACACCGTGTACATCAGGCCTATACTGGACTATGCAGCACTAGTTTGGAACCCACACCTTGTCAAGCACGTCAAGAAATAGAGAAAGTGCAAAGGTTTGCAACAAGGCTAGTTCCAGAGCTAAGAAGAATGTCCTACAAAGAAGGGTTAAGGGAAATCGGCCTGACGACACTGGAGAACAGGAGGGTTAGGGAAGACATGATAACGATATACAAAATACTGTGCAGAGTTTACAAGGTGGATAGAGATAGGACGTTCCAAAGATGGAACACAGAAACAAGGGGTCACAATTGGAAATTGAAGACTCAGATGAGTCAAAGGGATGTTAGGAAGTATTTCTTTAGTCATAGAGTTGTCAGGAAGTGGAATAGTCTGGCAAATGATGTAATGGAGGAAGGAACCATACATAGTTATAAAACGAGGTATGATGAAGCTCATGGAGCAGAGATAGAGGACCTAGTAGCGATTAGTGAAGAGGCGGGGCCAGGAGCTGTGTATCAACCCCTGCAACCAGAAATTGGTGAGTACATAAACCATACACACACACGTGGTAATGCATTATTTACAGTGAGCAAAGTCAGGGTATTTCTCCAGAATGGTTTGTAATTTACCACTGTGGATAAAATATTTTGCCATTTCTTTAACATTTCTGAGTGAGTTGTCTATAAATTCATTAATTTTATCACACTCCAGTACATAATGACGCAGGGTGTGACAATAGTCCATCTGGCAAAGTTTACATTTCGTTTTGTCTACATCTGGTGGTGGTGATTTAATTTGCCATAGATACTTACTTATAACCCAGCCGGAGCCGGGCGGTAGTGACATCCAAGAGTCGGCTTATTTTGTTGGGTGGAATCCACAGCATGTGCCCGCTGACTCCACTGTCCACAATCCAACCATACCTGTGTCTGGCTTCTGACACAAGCATGCCACAATTTATATTTAATGAGTTGAGAGCATTTATGGATGATAGAGAATCAGTTACAATTAAAATGTCAACCTTAGATACATAGATGCATTTGAGTGGGTCATTGCTTAATGGGAGGTGGACACAAAAAGAAAGCTAGCATCAGGTAGGGTAGGCTCCAAAACCTGGTGGTCCCTGGTCAAGGACAGACAAGGTTATCTGCCTGATGAACTCATTCCACCTCTAAATCGACAGGATGGGACCACCTCTACTAGTAGTCAAGAGAAAGAGAACCTCTTTGCCGAACACTTTGCTACCAAAATGCAAGTTCCTGATCCAGCAAGGGACCCTCCTTGGCTAGCTGCAAGAACTGTGTCAAAACTGTCAGTGGTGACAATAAGGCAGGAGGAGGTGCATTTCCTTAAATTGCTTGACCAAGAAAAGGCTGTGGGCCCAGACAAGTTGAGCCCAAGATTGCTGAGAAGATGTGCAGACCAGCTAGCAGCACCTCTAACTCGCATCTTTCAGCACTGCCTAGTACAGTGTAAATGGCCCTCTCTGTGGAAAGAGGCAAATGTAGTCCCTGTTCACAAAAAGAAGAGCAGAGCAGAAATCAGCAACTACAGACCAGTGTCACTGCTGTCAATCACTGGCAAGATCCTTGAGACAATAATCTCAAGACAAATGACAGAGATTTTGACTACCACTCACTACTTTGTGACCGTCAATATGGCTTCAGG